ATAAGATCATAAAGATCAATACCATAAAGGTATTGATCATGAGCGGAAAGAAAAACTATCAGTTAACCAATTAAAACTGTAGTTGGATTTTTGCTCCAGCCTTTTTGCTGGAACAAATACTATAAAAGTACATGTTCTAAAACATTTTAAAGGAAAAGGTGGTTTCATGAGGCGTTCTTCAAGTGCGTTGCCTTCACAAACGTGAACCTTGGAAGCTTGTACCTCCAGTCACATTCCCGACTAATGACTTCTGGAGTTGCACGTAACCTCACATGCAATTTTGGAAAAGGGTGCAAGTCCCACCTGTCTCTGCTTTTTTTACCACCTCCTCTGAGTACAAGGCACAAATTATATTCTAAAGAAGCAGGAAAAGAAGCCGAGGTGGGAATCTATGGAGACAATATCCTCCAAGATCATCAATTACCTGCTATCTTTTAATCTTTGAGAATTGCCTCCGTCAGAACCCAGCCTCTGGGAAATTACCAGGGCTGGCAGTGTTTACAGCTTGGCATCGGGGTTCAGAGCCACCGCCGCTGTCCCCATCGCAGCCACCTGCACGGAAAATCAGGAAGAAGCGCCCAAAAGAGGCAAAATAAATATGGAAAAACCAAACGGGCGGCGAGTTGTCTTCCCAGCCCTCGTGTAATTACGCAGTTGATCTTATTGTCAAGAAAACCTTTCAAGGGAAGAGCCAACGACACTCATAAAAGCTACTGGATTTAAAAGAGGGTGTCACAAAGAGGCATTGGGTCAAACCAGCACTGTAATTATCAAAACCTGGTCTCGCCATTACGATTTTTTGGGAAATTTCTAAACTCTCCGTGCTACTCAAGTGACTATTTGAAGCTTGTTCGTGTAGGAGTGTTGCAAGTTTGTAGTTTTGTGAGCAGGTTTTACAGCATGTGACCAGGCTCTTAATCACAAAGCAAAGAGCACACGCGATGGCTGTGGGCTTATCATCCTGGATCCCTGTGATATTTTATTTAAAGGTAATATAAAGTAACAGTTTCATGTAATGGCCAAGGGTCAATACTTGCTGATGCTGTATTAACATACTCACACTTTGTTTTGGAATGCTATTTTTTCTGTTGGAAATAAAAATATATATTTAACGTTGGCCTCCATAATATGATGTTAAATTATACCGAAACGAGCAGTGCAGTGTGTATGTGGTACCCTTGGTTTTTATGCTGCTCTTTTCCCCCGTCTGATCCAAAGTCAGCAGCGTGCTGATAAGGAGTGGTATTTCTCATGCTACATATGTTTTTCTCAGTCACCAAAAGTGAATTCTGCTTCACTTGAGGGTTCTGCCTTTTGTGAACTCTTTTACTCAAGTAGGGATGTGCAGCTACCAATCTTCACCACCAGCACCAAGCAGTAATTCCCTGCCATCCTCCTCTACTTGTTTATTTACCTTTGGCTTTATGTTTAGGTCCATCCTTTACCAGGCTCATGGATTTCTACATCTAAAGCAATACACAGAGAAACACATAAATGCAAGCCCAGGCAATGGTAACCCCAAGCACACCTTCATGCAACCCTGAAACCCCAAGTTACCATAAAATACATCAAAATCAAAGTCAGTATTTCTAGTATCATCAAACTAAAGCTTTCTAGGACCAAAGCATAAAAAGCAGTGAGGCATATAAGGAAAATTACAATTTTTCTAAATTCATATTCATTCACTTTACGAATTTCTTAAATTCATAAACTTTCCAGTTAGGGCGACACGAAACTCCCTACCTGAGCCAAGAGTGCTTTACTGCAGATTACATTATGGTACCAGCGGCCCAATATTTTGATCCCTCTACATCTTAAAAGAAATAAAATCATAAAAGTCTCTTCCAACACTAAAGTTCAGGTACGAGAATCTTAAATTTGCAGATTATGCCCTTTCAAAAAATGATACAAATAATTCCTTTACATATAATATATATAAAGGAATATATATATTCCTTTTATAAATATTCCTTTAATTGAAAGACACACTCTGTTCTTCCAGGGGTCCTTTACAAATGAGGGGAATCTTTGCTGCTGTTGTCTATAGCTCCTACCTTGGGATAGGAAATGACACTCTCACCTCACATCCCAAAGGTAAACAAACTGAGGAGGTTGACGGAGTTATAAATATCTCCAGGTAAGATACTTTACATAAGTATGAGCATTACACTTTCTTCGAGCTCTTTTAATATAGTTTATCCTTGAACTTTCCCTGCATTTCCATTTTGTGTCCTTTTCTTCCCAGCTGGGTCCTGCAGAGCAACCTGTTTTCCCCCACCTGCCCTAGCATATTTTCTTAGCAGAAGGCTCAGAACAGCAGACTGTTTTAGAAGGAAGTTTCTGCAGTGAAACAAGTGTGATTTACATTCTTTACGGACTCCACCACCTTTTGCAGTTCATTTCCTGATTCCCAGGGAGTTTCATTAGAAAAAAATTGCAAGTATTTTACTTAATTTCTGTACGTGCCAGACTGATACTGTCTTTTGTGGGGATGATCAAAGGAGGCCCTTTCAGAAACAGCAAAAGTCTGCAGAAGATGCAGTTAAAAGCAGAAGAGGGATACAGAATTCTGCCAGTTTGGGAATTATTTTCTCAGCTGTTTTGCAGCTGCACAGGGAATTTTTTTAAAACTATACATTCAGTTTCCTGAATGGGCAAAAATATCCATCCATTAGTAGCATTTATAACACAGAGAGGCTATACCCTTTGGTACGAGCAGTATCAAAGACACTGAGGTTTCCTGAAAGGACCTAAGTATAGGTATAAACCCGGGAGACTGTGAATGGTACCTGCTGTGGGTTGACAACCGGATTGTTCCTTCAAAATTTTAATTCAAACATTAACATTTGCCAGTAAAATGCTTGAGAAAAGGATTGAATTTAATTGGAGCCACAGCTACACTTAGGGAAAAAATGCAAGATAAGTTGCATGCTTTCTTGCAGAAAATAATTCTAGGTATTGGCTTTTTGTTTCATGTTACAAATTTACTGCAGACTGAAATTAAGGCATTTCTGCCCCTGTCCTCCTAACTCACTGGGAGCCATCGCTAACGCTTGTCCCTGGAAGATGGTTTTCTCTAAAGCTGACGTTTCTGTCCCCAGCTCTCCAAGTGGCCTGTGCAGCAGCAGAGCAGCGCTCTGTCCCCTTGGTCACTTCCCGGTGTCCGTGAGCATCCATGGAGCACAGGATTGGGATGCACAGCCTCGGGATGCGCAGGATCGGGATGCACGGCCTCGGGACGCGCAGGATTGGGATGCACGGCCTCAGGATGTGCAGGATTGGGATGCACGGCCTCAGGATACGCAGGATCGGGATGCACGGCCTCAGGATACGCAGGATCGGGATGCACGGCCTCGGAATGTGCAGGATCGGGATGCACGGCCTCAGGATGTGCAGGGTCGGGATGCACGGCCTCAGGATACGCAGGATCGGGATGCACGACCTCGGAATGTGCAGGATCGGGACGCACGCTCGCTGCTGTGAAGGATGCAGTGGTGGTTGATCCTTGCTCTTAGACCCAAAGAAAACATCAGGTAAAATTGATAAATGATCAAGTGCTGACTACGCTGCTGACATGACAAAATATTTTAAAAACTCCTACCCTGGAGGCTAGTCCATGGTCACGAGCCACCTAGTCCGCGTTTCACCTTACGTATCGGTGCCCGCAGAGGGGATCTTGACATGGGGACATAGGTCATTATTTAATTATTTCCTCCTCCTGTTACACACAGGCTCAAGCAATTCTCTAAGGACTCCTTAGGATTCCTAAGCTCAACACTTAAGCAAGAGCCCAGGTTCCATCCCACCTCCCATGGGGAG